CTTGTAAGGTTGGTCTGGTTTTAACAAATTCCCTTAGTTTCTGCTTAGCTAGGAAATCTCCTAATTTCACCCATCATATTTGAGGGATAGTTTTGCTGGGTATATAATTCTTGGTTGGAAAATTTTCTCTTTCACGGTTTTATATATACCATCCAATTGCCTTCTTGCTTGAATGGTTTCTGCTGATAAATCAGGGCTTATTCTTATTGTCTTTTGTAGGTAACTTTTCATTTTTTCTGTGCACCTTTCAGGATTCTTTGTCTTAAGACAATGTCTTACTGATTTTCTTTTGTGGTCTTTCCTGTTTGAAGTTCACTGGACTTCCTGAGTGGATTTATTCTCATCTTTCATCATGTCATGGAAGTTCTCTTCCAACAAATCTTGGACAATTTTTTCATTGGTTTTCTTTTTCTCTTCCTGTTCTGAACTCCGATTACATGTGGGTTATTCCTTTTGTATCCCACATGAACCTTCCAAAAACAAATACCAAACTCACTGCTGTCGAGTCGGATCTGACTCATAGCAACCCCTCCTTGGGATTCTGAGGTGGTATTTCTATGGAAGTAGATTGCCCAACCTTCCTTCTGAGGACTGGCTGGTGGGTTTGAACCACCAGCCTTCTGGTTAGCAGTCAAATACCTTAAGCAGCATGCCACCAGAGCTCCCACATGAAAAAAGCTCCCTTTCTTCATTTTGTTTTGATCTTTTTTTCTGATTGATCCCTTTCCAAAGAAGTATTCAGGTATTTGTCTTCGATCTCATTAATTCTGTCTTTCACTGATTCCATTCTACTCTTTTGACCTTTCAATGTGTTATCTATTTTTGAAACTTCAATATTAATCTTCTGGATTTCTATCTGTAGATTTTGTATCATTTCTAAATTTTCATTTATTTTGTCATTTTGTTCTTGTATTTTCTTCTGAAATTCTTCTAGGGTTTTGTCTGTGTTTTCCTTAATTTTGTCAGCATTTTCCTTGATCTGTCTCTCAATCCTCTGAAGGTACCTAAATATAATTCTTTTGAATTCCTTATCAAGGAGTTCTAATGCTGTTGCTTCTTCAGGGATGTGTCCAGGGTCTGTATCCTGCTCCCTTGTTTCTACCATTTTATCTCGCTTCTTTGTGTGGACTATGATGGCCTGTTGTCTCTGAGATGTTGTGATATTGTTGTATTTAGATCTCTGTCAACTCTTTGTGAAGAGCAGTTAAGGGTGAGTCAGCTCTTCCTGGTGGTCATTTATTATTGGCCAGTTGGTAGAGAAGGAAGTGGTGGCTCTCACTCAGTAAGTGGAGCTGCAGGACATGCGGGTGTGGTTGCATCATATGGGCACGGTTGCTGTCTCCCACTCGGTTAGACAAAAACAATGATTGAAAAACTATCAAAAATGTAAAAGCAAGAAGACAAAAAACACATCGCATAAACACACAGGAACAATCACCAAGAAAAAAAAGAAAAAGAACAAATGAACAACAACAACAACAACAAAAAAAAACCCTGCAATATCTAGGGAGAAGGCAATAAGAGAAAAAAGGTAGCGTAGGAGAATAATGAGAAAAAAAAGTGGGAAAAATGCAAAAAGGAACACAAGGAATGGGGTTAACTATGAGAAAGAAAAAAATGGGAACCAGGAACAGGGAAGAGAGAAAAAGCTGGAAACTAGAACCTTTCCAGTTGTTCATGCCTATATATTCTTGCAGTTCTCAGCAAGTGGAGCCTATTAGGTGCCTGGAATCTGAGAGAATGCTGCACTTTAAATATCCAAAATGGCTGAACTGCTTGTAAACATTCAAAATGGCTGTGTCCTCCAGACAGAAAAAGGCCACAGCTCAGACCGTCTTCCTCTTCACTGCTTTTACTTTTATTCACCACCCACCAGTGCAGTCCTCTGTGCAGCCCCTGGCTAGCAGGGCCAATTTTTAGGTTAATTCTTAGGTCCTAACACCACTTGGCAAGATCCAAGCTGTCTGTATGGTCAGGGTCACTGACAGACCGCAGTTTCGTATGTCTCTGTTTTTGGTGTTTTCATGCAAGTTCTTCTACTAGTTGGAGTTCAGTCCACTTCTGTATCCTTCCTTTCAAACCTCTGGGCTCCAGGATTATATTCTGTATCTGTGTTAATTGGTTCCCCTTTTCTTTGTTGAAGAGAGGCTGTGTAGTTTGTCTGCCTATTCCACCACCTTACTGGAACCCCGTGAATTTTAACTATTCTCTTAAATTTGTTATTTTTATATAAACAAATCCCATAATCATTGTTAACATAGTAACTGTTAACTGTGAATAGCAGTTAAGGGTGAGTCAAGCTCTTCTTGGTGGTCATTTATCATTGGCCAGCTGGTAGAGAAGGAAGTGGTGGCTTTCACTTAAGTGGAGCTGCAGGACATGTAGGTGTGGTTGCGTTGTATGGGCACAGTTGCTGTCTCCCACTCAGTTAGACAAATAACTGTCATCAAGTTGATTCTGACTCATGGTGACCCTATGTGTACACATTCTTGTAACTTGCATACTAGATTAGAAGTTAGCCACTATCATATGTATTTGGCATATTGTTTTTCCAGATGGGGCCAACCAGATCAATAAAGGTATACTTCAATTTAGTCCTCATATTCTATAGGGATCAGCTTCATGACTCATATTAGAAAGGAATTATAAATATAGGCCAGTAGTTAATGAGGAAAAGGAGCCCTGGTGGTGCAGTGCTTAAGTGCTTGGCTGCTAACTAAAATGTTGGCAGTTAGAATTCATCCACCACCCTGCAGGAGAAAGACATGGCAGTCTGCTTCCATAAAGATGTATAGCCTTCAATGCTCTATGTAGCATTTCTACTCTATCCTATAGAGTTGCTATGACTTGGAATCAGCTAGACAGCACAACAACAATGCTGATGAGATAGCTCTCTTTTTTATCTTCTGTAACTAGTAAAATGCTCCAAGATGATGTTTAGAAGATGTTCATGTATTGCTAGAGAAGGTACAAAAAGTCTTTCTGTCCAATGACCATAGAATGTCCTCTGCACAGGCCAGGTCTGGGTTAATATGGCTAAAAATAAATGAAAACAATACAAACACACCAATATGTCAACCAGAAAGATAATTAACTAGAAGTATAAATTATTAGAAAGAAAAGTCTGGTGATCTACTTCTGAAAAAGAAAAAAAATATCAGCCATTGAAAACGTTATGAAGCTCAATTCTATTCTGACACAAGATCGTTACGAGTTGGAATCAACTTGATGAAAATTAGTTTCATTGGTTTGGATAGAGTATGAAGTGGACACATGTATAGTACAGGTCTGATAACCTGAGGGGCCATCTAGATAACTCAAAAGACAAACTAAGCAAGCATCTGCTAGGGCAGCAGCAAAGAATGAGAAAGCCATTTTGGGAAAGATATAATCTTACCAAAACAAAAAAACAAAAAACTTTAGATACGATAAGAAAACCAGAACTTTGTTGAACTTCCTTGCATTTTATGGTTTTGTGTTGATTTTAGTCTAATTTATATAATATTTGACTCTCAGAAACCCAAGGAGGGGTTGCTATGAGTTGGATCTGCCTCAACGGCAGTGAGTTTGAGTTAGTACTTAGGGATTCTAAAAGTCTTATTCCAGCCCTGCTCAGAAGGCAATTTGGAAAGTTTCTGATTTTGATTTGCTTTAATGACAAGGGAAAAAAAATTAGAAGTTAGACATCCATGATTTCATTGAATGATATGAGCAAATACCTTTGTTATCTTATTGAAACTAAAATATTTTCCTAATTTCTAAAATAACTTTGGCATAAGATTTGTTCATTTGTAAATACACAAAAAATTAATTTACAATGTAAAGTGTATCTTATAAACTTCACAAGAACCAAAGGTTGAGCAGAACAAGAAATGAGGAGCAGTAACCCAATTCTTGAGTTGCATAGAGTCCATACTATTTTATGCCTTTGTTTTGAATCAGGTCATGTTAATGGTTAAGTGTTGAGGCCCTCCTGTGATATTAAGTCATTATCTTTTAGGGGGTTAGGAAGAATGATGGAGGAATCTAGAAACACATTCTGAGTTCCCTTGGAAATAACAACAGTAATCATAATAATGACAGCTAACATTTACTGGTAATAAAATGTTGTAAACATTACATTAAGTACTTTTATATATCATCTTATTTAATTCTTATGACAACTTCATAAATTAGTTTCTAGTATTATTTCAAAATTCAGCTTGTGAGTAGTTGGGGTAATTTGCCCAAGGTCATATACTAGGGCTCAAATTAGAAACAAAATTGAGTCTGGTGTCTGCAATTTTAACAACCATGTTATACTGAGAAAAGGATGAGCCTGCATCTTTTTATAAAGAAAGTAATTATCGCCTTCAATAACAGAATGTCATCTTTGACTGAAGGGCAAAAACTGGCTGAGCTATTTTCATTGACTCCGCAGCAAATGTCTTGCTGTTACCACAGTGTTCAAGCTGCATTGATATGTTGATATAAAATCCAACAAGGTAATTATAATTGAATTCTAAAGTGTCTTATAAATTTTCAGCTATCGGGGAAAGAACTGAAAATTGAAATGTGCCACTTTCTTTTTCAGTCAGTATATTAGAGAAGCTTTTTAATAATTAAATTATATGTTAGGTACCTCCAGGGATGTTATTATGGTAGGAAGTATTCTAAGAAACAAGCTGGCATCATCTAGACAGAAAATAGGCTTTAGCTTTTTCTCTTATAATATCCAACCCTATAAATGAAAACAACTTCAAATGCTATCGAAAGGGGGGCTATGATACCAACATTAAATTAATCATAAGAAAAACTAACAAATCCCAAATAAGCAACAAATAATGGGTGAGGTGAAAAGGATCACAGTTTCTCAGAGAAGTTGTGTGGGGTGGTGTGTGTGTATGTGTGTGTTCAGGAACTTGAAGCCAAAACAGTCAAATGTTGCACACTGAATTTGTTCATCCCCAAGAGAAGAGAGGTAAGAGGGGTTTGGTGGCTTAAAATAAAGACAGACTTACCTTTAGGAGAGCCAAGGCTACATGAAAGATTATGTTCAAACCCTGAAATAGAAAAACAAAGTAAAAATTAATACTGATACTCTATCACAGTTTTATTAAGTACTTAACCAAGACATCCATACATCTTTAATAAAATCCCTAACCATTTTCATTTTCACATACAACAATAATTAAACCATGAGCTTTTAAAAAAGAAGTATTTTCCTTCTGTGAGAGGTTTATTTCAAATTTCTGGTGCTATTTAATTAACGTTCAGATAAAATTGTTTTTCCATTATTTTCTTTTAATTCATTTCTGGATTATTTCTATGTGTCTAGGAGCTTTGGTGACGTAGTGCCTAAGGCCTTTGACTGCTAACCAGAAGGCTGGTAGTTCAAACCCACCAGCCACTCCTCGGAAGGAAGGTTGGGCAATCTACTTCCATAGTGATACTGCCTCGGAAACCCAAGGAGGGGTCACTATGAGTCGGATCTGAATCCACAACAGTGAGTTTGTTTTTTTTTTTTGGTTTTAAGGCATGTGAAAGTTAAGATTCTTGCTCAAGATGGGCAGGGTGACATAGAAGTCTAGAACTGTTAAATGAAACTCCTAACTCCTAGTCTAACATCTGGGTGATGAGGTTAAATTGCCAGTGGCAGACAAAACAAACCAGACAAAAAACAATGCTGCTGGTAAATGGGACAGATTGTGTAAAGGGAGGTGGTAGCATCACACTCCATTTCCACTACATTTTTATTTTTTCCCCTTGTGGTCTCTTTGTGTAAGTGCTTGCTTTCAAGTATTATTTGTATAACTAGAGATGGTAATTAGGGGCTATCTGCCAGACTTCCTTGTTCTTTCTTTCTCCTCCTTTCTCTCTTTCTTGTCAGAAACAGAATGTCAGATCCCAATACCAAATTTCTATAGAAAACCAGAGCAATATTTCTTTAGAAATTTAAAAAAAAAAATCAAACTGCTTCTTGAGAAGCCATGTTGTTGTTGTTGTTGTTATGTGCCGTCGAGTCGGCCCCGACTCATAGCGACCCCTCCCTGGGTTTCCAAGGCAGTATCACTACGGAAGTAGGATTGCCCAACCTTCCTTCCGAGGAGTGGCTGGTGGGTTGGTGGGTTGAGAAGCCATACTGGAGCTGAATTTTTAATGCTTGGTTCAGCTCAATGATTCTAGAGATATCAAGATATTAAATTCAAGAGATGAGGAATCCTTGTTAACATAATCAGAAATAAGGTCACTATGTTGTTGTTGTTATATGCCGTGGAGTCAGAACCGACTCATAGTGACCCCTCCTTGGGTTTCCGAAGCAGTATCACTATGGAAGTAGATTGCCCAACTTTCCTTCCAAAAGGTCACTATAGAATGTGCTGTTTACTTGTTCTCCAAGTCATCATCATGAGAAGAAAGATTTTTCAAGCATGAGTTGACATCTCCTGTAAGTCCAAGGTCTATTCAATGTGCCATCTTTCATCTTAGTCACAAATATAATCTTTGCTTTATGGAGCAAATGTACTATATAAAGAACTTCTAATAAAGCATGTTTCTGTCTCCAAAATCAGAAGTAAAGATAAGGACTAGATACTCAGAGCATATTCCTGTTGCAATTTGCTATTGCAACTTTTCATATTCAGCTACCAAAAATATGACATAATGGTGGAAGGGTGAATTATAAGAAAAAAAAAATTTTTGTTTTGGTTAGAAGTTTTGGGCTTAGTCAACTAATTATTTAAAAATCCAAAAGCTATAGGAAATAATTAGAGTTAGACCAGAAGGCAAAAAACAGACTGACATAGTTCATCACTACAACAAGTAGTGATCTTAGACTAGCATTTTAAAACTGATATAAATATATACATATACACACACACATATATATACATATATACATGTTCCATGTACTACCTTTGCCAGTTCAACATGGATCCTAGATAGTTTTGATCACAATCTCCCAATTAGGAAAATAGAAAGAAGACCGTAAATTTGGGTCTTCACCCACTACCTGCTGCCCACTACTGCCAAAACTTGCAGGCCAAGAGAAAAAAGATGAGCTGCCCTGCCCCCCACTCATGCTATCCCACTCCACTTGTTAGGCTTTGCTTCTAGGTAATAGTGAATTCTCAAAACCTTAATGTCTATCAACTTGCCATTGAGATTAAGTCTACCATGTCTCTAGTTGTTTTTTCCTGTGTGGTAGTTAAGGTTATATGTCAACTTGGCTGGGCCTGGTTGAGTGGCTGGGCAGCTGGATGCAGTTATTCCCCATGATAGGACTGGTAATCAACTCCATGGTGGAATCTACTGGAGCAGATGAGTAGCTGCCTTAGGAATCAGTCTGCTTCCACTGTATATGGAGAAGTTCTGAGAAAGGTCTCTGCAGCTTTTGGCACCCTGGAATCCTGCATGTAGCCAAGTCTTCATTCAGCAGAGTCATTCAAGTCCAGAGACTTGAATGTAATGGACTCGAATTTGTCTTGCTGTGTGATTTGATAATTTTGGGACTGTGCCATTTTACTTGTAGACCTTAGGCTTGTCAGCCTCAGCAGTTAACGCTGCCTGAGTGGAGAGAAGCCTCCAATTCCAGTGGGCCTGAAGCAAAAGGCAGAGCTGAAGCTCAAGGTCAAGGGGCTTTCACCCAGCCTCTAGAGCTGGTACTCTGAACTCAGACTTCTAGTGTCTAAAACTGTAAGAGAATATATCCCTGTTTGTTAAAGCAGCTGAGTAGCTGCCTTAGGGATGTAGTCTGCTTCCAGCATATATAGGGAAGTTTTGAGAAGGTCTCTGCATGTAGCCAAATTTTCATTCAGCAGCCTGCAATGTTTCCTGCCATCTTGGGACTGTCTCTGGACTTTAAGTAGTGGCCTGTTGTGTTGTTTGGTAATATTGGGATTCTGCCATTTTATTTGTTGGCCTTGGCCTTGTGAGCTTCAGCACCCAGCAGCTGCATAAGTGAAGAGATGCCACCAGCTCCAATGGGTCAGGAGTAAGAGGCAGAGCTGAAACCCAAGGTCAAGGGGCCTTCACCCAGCCCCTAGGGCTGATACACTGAACTTAGACTTCTAGCCTCCTAAAGATCATTTACATCAGCTAAACTAAACTGTAAGAGAATAAACTCCTGTTTGTTAAAGCATCCTCCCACCTGTGGTATTTCTGTCAGCGTGGCATGAAATAACCAAAACATCCAGTCACTTTGCAAAAGGTAAAGCCCTCTTCTTTCTTATCCTCTAATCCTCATAATACTCTGGTCCATTTCCTAAAACACTTTCTTTCTCATTCATCCTTTCCTTCCCAGATTCTTTCACTGAACTTTGTGGAACTTTGTTGTGGAACTATTTTGAGGTGTACTCCATACTGAAGGCTACAAGTCTTCGTTCTTCACCAGTGCTTCAATTCTTCATTTTCAGCAAGCAAGGCTGTGTCATCTGCATATCGCAAGTTGTTAATGAGTCTTCCTCCAATCCTGATGCTGCATTCTTCTTCTTATAGTCCAGCTTCTCCAATTATTTGTTCAGCAAACAGATTGAAAAGTATGGTGAAAGGATACAACACTGACACACACTTTTCCTCTTTTTAAAACCATGTAGTATCCCCTTGTTCAGGTTCTGCATGACCACAATGTAGTATTCTGTCTCCAACCCTAGCTTGGCCCCAGACTGACCTCAGCCCTGGCCCAGCTAGCAGTGGCCAAGGTGTTAATGCTAAACGTGGTGGTGCTGGTGCTAGAGAACCTGAACCTTTTCCAAAGCCCTTCTTGGTTTGAGATCAGCTTCTAATACAACCTGGAGTGGAAGATCATTTACATTGGCTTAGCTAAGAGTGGGAAGTGTGATCTGGTCACCTCTGTCTCAGCAGGGAGACATGTTTGTCTTTCAAGTCAAAGTATCCAATTCATGTCTCATCCCTGAGACTGATGTTGTGGGATGACTATGGCATTCATCACCTGCACCTAACATGGAGAGGAGTTCATCCACATGTGCTATTATGTCAACAACTAGCATCCCAACCCTAAAGTGCAGGAGAAACCTGCCCCTGAAGCTAGAGATTTCTCAGCTTCAAAGGAACATCTTGGCTTTCAACTCTTGGGTGACCTGTTTCCACATCAACTGGGACAACAACACAGACAGGGTGGAAGCCATTGACAACTAGGACCTTTCCCTGAGCAGTGGCCTTCCCTCAGCTATACTATGAGAGCCCTGAGCCTTCCTGGCTGGCCTCCTCCCTGAGAACTCCATTGACTGCATCTGTGGTAGTTAAATTTGTATGTCAACTTGGTTGGGCTTGGTTGAGTGGCTGGGCAGCTGGTGGTAGTTATTCCCCATGATGAGACTGGTAAGCAACTCCATGGTGGGATCTACCATAAGCAGATAAGTAGCTGCCTTTGGGATGTAGTCTGCTTCCTGTATGTAAGGAGAAGCCTTGGGGATAGTCTCCAGCATATGGCATGCTTGGACCCTGCATGTAGCCATGTTGTTGTTCAGCAGCCTGCCATGCTCTGCCTATGTTGGGACTTTCAATGGCCTGCTGTGTGGGTTGGTAACATTGGGAATGTGCCATTTTATTTGTTGATCTTGGGATTGTTAGCCTCAGCAGCTAGTAGCTGCCTGAGTGAAAAGATGCCTCTAGCTTCAGTGGGCCGGGAGCAAGAAGCAGAGCTGAAGCCCAAGGTCGAGGGGCTTTCACCCAGCTCCTAGAGCCTGGCACTTTGAACTTGACTCAAAACCTCCAAACTGTAAGAGAAAAAACTCCTATTTGTTCAAGCATCCCATCTGTGGTATATTCCTGTCAGAGTGGCACTAGGTAACCAGAACAGCATCTAACTGTGGAAACTCAAGCCCTGGCTTGGATCTGTTGAAACCAGTCTCCTGACACATCTGGAAGGAGCACACAGGCCTCCCAGAGAGCCATGAGGGCCTTTTGGAGGACTTTGGGGCTGTCACATACATAGAACTGGTCAGACTGGGCCCCAAGGAAAGAAGACAAGTCATCTCACATCTATTCCACAGGCCTGTAAGAAGCAGGTACTCAGTTCTTCATACTTTCTAACTGTGCCCTT